CCAAGGTGAAACACAACTGTTATGAAATAGCATGCAGCAACACTAGTGAGAAGCCTAAAGAGGAATCAGAAAGGAACACCATGTCCAGTTAACAGTAAGTTACCCTGTCTGGATTTTGATGATGGGCACGTCTAATAAACCAGCACTGCAAAAGTCTTCTACAATATTCAATGGCAGTCCATTATTCAATTTTCAGAAATAAAAAATGCAAAGTGGCTTCTTGGACTATTATTTTCAGGACCATGGAGTCGTCTGTTACTGGGACCATTACTATCAGATTTAAAGAAGAGACAAAAGTCACTCAAAATGGCCCAGATACTTGAGGATTTGTGCTCCCCTACAAAGCCAGCTCTCTAAACTACCAGTTCACACACACCACATCATCTCATCCCTTCAATGTACTCACATTAAAACTACATATTTGGAAAGCCTACAGTAAGAACACGCATGCAGAGTGAACCCACAAGCATACCTGCTCATGAGTCTACTGCCTCTGACCAGCAGCAGAGGCTCAGAAAAAGACTGTAAGAAACAGAGGACGGTTAGAGTAACCCTTGGTAGTATTAGTCATCTCTCAAAGGAACCAAACCCAGTATGTTCACAAACCTTCTTAGACCAATCACACTGCAAACCCTGGCATCGAACTGTACCCACAGTGAGTGCGGCAGCTTCCTCAGAGGCCAGTGAAACTGCTCTTCACAAAAGGAGAAGAAAATCCAAGTTTATCCATATACTGGCAGACTACATTACCAAAACCAATCCAGAAGTGGCTCAAGTTCACCTTTTCAAGACACATAATTATTATACACAATATTAACAACAGAGACAAATACTGCAAGACAAATTTTCCACAAGAGACTACCAGTTGGCCTGCTGTTGGATGTCCCAATTTTGCACGTGCAAACGCTCTTGAATTTCAAGTGCAAGTGTCTACACCAAGCAAAAGAAAAGGTCAGTTTTTTGAAAGGGAGGTCTGGCAGGAAATTGAGGAAAAAAAGCAAACAAGCTTAACATATTTAAAACTACTGCAAGGTCTTGTTTGCAGAAGAGAACAGGGAAGCAGGAGAAGGACAATATCCATGTCAGAGCTCCATCACTTACAATCAAAATGACATATTCAGCAAGACGAAAAGACTCAAAAGAGCAAGTAGATTGAAAAAGGATAAATTTTTCATTTTGTGTATGCTTAGTTTTGAGGTTGGGTTTAGGTAACAACAGTGACATTTAGGAGTACACAAGAGACTAACGTGGTGTTCAGAGAATCGAGATGGAAGGGAATGTGATGCACAACGCACCACTTGAAAGAATAAACGGAAGGATAGAAGTAAAAGACGGTCTACAAAGCATAAAGACTGGAGTGGCAGGTGAAGGGCAAGAGGAGGAGAGAGAAAAGGTTCCAGTGAAGTTATACAGTGATGTCAAAGGAGAAGAACACTTTAAGTAAAAGAAGAAGCACTAAAGATATTAAAAAACTGTGTAACACATTGGCATTAACTTAGTGAGCAGTATTTCAAGCAGGCTGTAAGGGAGCAATCAGGACGTAACAGAACAAACGGCTGCATACAAGCCAGAAACACACGCCTGCACTAATTCTGAGTTGTAGAAATCTGACGGATGCTGCCCAAACACTGGTTCTGCATGTTCTCAGCACAGTCATGAGAGATATCTGAACCACTTCTCCGTAATGACATCACAATGGACTTCCAACACCTCACACATCCCTCCTGCAAGTCATCGCTGGACATACATGCAGTACAGAAGAAAGCTTCAGCACAAATAATACTGGACAAGCTCTAGATTTGATTGTGACTGATAAAATTTCATTGTTTCCCTACTGAGACAGTAATCGAGCACTGAGATTATGCTTTTCCTCTTCCAGATCATCACAATTTATACCTGAGAAGAGAAGCACACTCTATAAAGAATTTCCCTTCCATTTGGCAAGCGGGTCAGATATGCAGCATCCACTGTCCGCTGTACCAAAATAAGATGTGTTACCTTGTCCGAATTCCATCTGTAATTACATGAAAGATTAAACACAGCTCAAGGTAACATACACAGCGCAAACACCCTAGGGCCGTAGCATTCTTTTCTAATGTCTTCCTGCATAAGGACAAGCATTCTCCCATCCTGGGGAAACAACACTCAGAATTTACAGAAAAAAATAATCCTTTGCTGACGCTGGTAGTGACTATAGCTTCTGTCCCCCTCGAACTTTCAACCGTTTTAACACCTTGAATCTGCATCTGGCCATAAACCTCAGCATGGCACAACGTGGTACATTTCTCAATCAACAACTATGCTGACATCAGTTTAGACAATTATAATAATGGAAAAGGCCAGGTTCCTTGCTGATTTTATCACTTTACCGCAGACTTTACCAGAGATGATCAGCCTTGACTCATCACTGAGAAGCGGTAAAGTCAGAGGTGAGAACTTGCAACGGTGCATCACTTGTTTGGAGAAGTCCCAGGGGGCCATCAGGAGCACAGCTTGGCTCCTACACAAGGCCCCTGACACGGCATCCCTCAGAATCCCAGGTTACTTCTTCCCACCACACACTTAGGAGGGACTCCTAAAATGTTGCAAGATGCATCTTGGCCCGTAACGACTCGCTATGGTGACAATACTTTGCTCAATTTCTCCTTGATCCCACAGCTGTGACCATGCCTCTCAGTGCTTTGCAGAGTTAGAAGCACAGGTAGAAATTAACTGGTTTAAACTTAATCTTGAAAGGATGATGGCAGTGATGGAGAGGAAAATACCCTGAGGCCCTGGTGAGCACTATAATTATGCTTTCTGTAAGAATAATTCCCATTCTTGTCCAAGTGGATTGTAGTTTCAGGGATTTAGTGGATCTCCTGCTAATCCTAGATCCTCAGAGAAACCTTCCATCTCCCACAGGCCGATGATCTCACCCCCTCATGTGTCTTGTTACAGTCCTCTCTACCTACTTCATCCTTATGCTGCTATGGTATAGCTGCATTTCTAGGACCACCCCCAAAACCAACTTGAAAACAGAAGCAGAGCAGAATAATTTATGGAAAAGCTCCTTTGCTGAAATGCTCTCCATTCACAGTCCAGCTGAGCACTAGCCAGATCACGCTACGTTTTCTGTGACCAGACCTGTAATTAGAAGGTACTCTCCTCTGGTCAAGAGTTTATCAGGCTCAATTGAAAGTATGAGACACACTGGTTTTACAGGCACCTGTTATCGGAATCTAAACACTACGAACACTTACACATACAAAACACATTCAAACATTAACAAATGTGATACTCACAAACCAGAGCAAAGAGGTCGTAGGAGTTGACCTGCTTTACACAGCTACAGCTCAATTCGCTGACCTGGAACAACCTTTAATTAGGCATTTCCATACTCTTAAAACAAACATAGAAATAATGCCCTTTCACATAAGTAAGAGAATTGCAAATAAGTTTTCCCAACAAAATACAGCAGAGAAAACATCCCTGAACCCACGAGGTGCTTACGGAGAAATTATGCATATTTGCCTTTCAAAGATGGCATGAAGCCTAAAACATCTGAGGTATTTGCATTTCTATACTTTGGGTTTTCCTAAGAAAACAGAAACTACAGTCAAAAAACACATTTGGAATCATAGAATCACTTCACTTCAGCCACCATGTTACAGCTGTGTCCTGTACAAGCTCCCACAACTTGCTGCATTCCAACTGCTGGCTATGACTAAACTAACATACAGAAAGTCTTATTCGTAGGAGGCTGTTCACAGGGGAATGAAGATAAATATGAAGATGCAGTAACGGGATCTAAGCAAACAGCACAGGCACACTCAAATACCCAGTTCAAACAGTAACAGCACATTCTGACCTGTTTCAAGGGAAGACCTAATTCCTTTAATGGATTAACTCCTCCACTCTCAAAGTCATCTTGCCTGTCACCTTCCAGGCTGATTCTTACCGAATACTTACAAATGTGCAAAATCGTGGCCTTCAGCTGATACTAACAATGCTCCCTAGTTGGCAAGAACATCGTCACCATCTTTGCATGACCTGCATTCTCTCTGTCTCCAGGATTAAAAAACAATAATCCTATTTCCACAGAGTAATTCTAGAGCAGAAGAACTACCAACCTGTCCTCCTGTCACGTAGAATGGCTACCTATATTCATCTCCCTGGTAAGATCCACTAGACAGAGGCAATGTGTTATTTCATTATAAACAAACTTACGGTCCCGTAATAGTTAAAGAGAGCAAAGCCTGATGTCATCTTAAACAAGAAGTGTTATAGATTACACCACCTTTAAACCCATTTAGGCAGAAGCAGAAAGGGCTGAAGCCACCAGCCTTCAAAGCAGCGACTATTTGGTTGCTTTGCAAGAAGAGCCTCAATCATGTAACGCAACTGAGGTGGGCAGTAGCGTAAAAATTAAGCGTGGCTGGGCTACTGGAAGATGTCCAGATTCAGTACCATCTCCATCAGCAGAAGTTCTGAAGAGTTACGACAATAAAACAAAGTTGTTTCCCCAAGAAGCAATCCTGAGGGAGCACAGCGCCTGCTCTTCCATGTACTGGAATCTCCACTGAGCTCCATCATGGAATTGCGACCCATCTCTGTCTACAGACAGAGGCAAAGAAGTAGGTTACTGAACTGCAGGTGAAACCTGTCAGAAGAGGCCACAAAACCAGAAAAATATTTTTCCAAGACAGCTAACTATGGCAAAAGCCAGTATGACTCGGATGAGAAGTGGTGGACCGACAGCCCCAGAGACCCAAGTCCTGTCTCCTTTTTCCCAGTACAGCACAAGCGACCACTGCACATGCTTCATCACAGTACAACATTTATCAGTCTGGATGGGTCAATTTCTAGAAATTTAAGTGCATTCGGTCCCTAGCCTTTCTTTTGCCACAGCAAATAAAGAGCTCAGTATTGGGTTTTAGACATGAAGAATTATTTTACTGAGAACTGTTAGTCAAACACAATTCCAGTGATTTCAAAACCAGTTAGTTAACAAGCAATACCTGAAGGAATGAAGAACGTATAGCCTTGTTTCAGCTCAATTCTTTGGCATCGTTCCACCCTGTCTCCCAGAAAGATATCACTTTGCTTTCCTGAGAGAACCCATTCTTCATAAAGTTCTAGATTCTGCAGAGTAGGCGGAATCAGCCAGAAGATCTAAAAATAAAACAAAGATTTAACTATTATCAACAGTCAACAAAAATAAACAGCTGAGAAATTCCAACAAGGTTATCACGTGTTAGACAAATGAACACATTTGTAAACACCAAGCCTGCTTTCTGCATAAAACACGTTTTCCAGGTGTTGTACGTAGAGGCAGGCAGCAGGAGCAATTAGTCCGCGTGCTGGAAGTGGCAAGATAACTGTCACTTGTCGTCTCTCTTCCATGACCCATCTTACTCAGAAGATACCTGCATAGTTTACTTTCAGTTCAAAACAGTGCGTTGGATAGTACAACTCTGTTGGACTATGTAGAAGAACAGTATCTGTACCACAGAGATGCTCAATCTGCCGTATTTTTTCCAGTTCCCACCATACGCTGTCTATACTAGAGCTGGGAAAAGCAACCTAAAACAGCAAAGATGTGAATGCAGCCATACATGCTGTATATTTTAACGCTTCTGTATCCTGTAATATTTCCGTTCAGGCACAGTGTGTATGTGCACACTGAAGGAACATGGAATGTCTAAAAGGAAACAGAAGCTCTAGCTCCAGGAGGAGACTTGCGAGGGCACTCTGACCCAACAAGGATACACACAGCCACACACCCACTGCAAGACGCTTCTAAACCAGGCAGCAATAACGAGCCTAAAAGCACCACCGACAGCAAATAACGTGTTCGGTATTTCAAATAAATCACTCGTTTGCTTCATAAAGGTGAATGGTGTCCTTCCAGTTCAGCAAACTCCCTGTACATCAACAAGGCTGGCTGAAATAGACTGATCGCTGACTAGCCCCCCATGTCCCCACCCCCCCAAAACCAGCAAGCAACTCCTCCCCTCCGTAAGAAGTACAGAGAAATAAAACCAAATATCAAACAAGGTTCACCTACCTTCCCCCCACGGAAAACGTGATACCACACTGAAGTGCCTCCAAAATCAATATGAAAATCAGTGAAGCATCCTTTCACACTCATCAAACAGTACCTGTAAGCAGAGCGAAGGACAAAGACGAATCAGTCTGAAACAGTATTTTTCACCTCTTATTTTGCAGAGGTTAACTGCATGTGTGATACTGTTTCCACCAATTAAGTTTCTGCGTTTATACTACCGGGGTTTGTCTCACGAAGTAACTATAACTTGGTTTCTGCTGAAAAACATCTATCTCCAAGGTTGAGTTTGCTATTCGTACAACTGGAACGAAAGCTTTCGCAGTTAAGGAATGGAAAAACATTAAAAGTTATGTTGTTCAGAAATACTTCTTATGCCACTGCCAGTCCCTGGGGTAACTTGTTTAATGCTCTCCCTTCGCTGGTTGAGAAACAAAACCTTCTCCAAAAGTTGCACCCAAATTGCTTCAAAGAGCAAAGTTTTGAAAAATCTAATTTGCTTATAAATCCTCCTGAACGTTCTTTACCTACTTGCCACTAATGCCATTTTTGCAAAGACTGGGGGACAGAAACCTCATTTGGCAAATTAACTCCTTTTTGTTCACATTTCTAGGCATTTCTGCACCACAACACATAAAGGAACCAGCTGGCAGCATCGCTAAGTATCAAATCCACTATTTTTTATGCCGTCTTGATTCAGGTTTTCAAAGCAGTTTAAAGTCGGCATCGCTGGAAAGAGCTACAAGAGCTCCCATCTCGCTGCCTGAATCTCGAGCCTCCAGCCACCATCTGTAAGGAATGGCCGAATTACAGCCGCCCTCCTCACTACAGGCACCTTTGCAAACGCAGGAAACACACACCACTTAACCCACTAACCTCTTTTCCTTGTTCCGGTCTCCGTTTCATGGCTTTTTTTTTTTTTTTTTTTTTTTTTGGAAGGGTGTTATGGAAACCGTACCAGAACGGGATTTGTCAAAAAAAAGAAAAAAGCTTTCATTGAACTGTGTCTTTTTCTCATCACATTCAGGTAGAGAGAATCTCAGCAGTATGCAGACGGCGTGCAAAAGTCCCTCTAGATGATAGGCTGGAAGGGACCTTACCATGTGTCTGCAGAAGGCTGGCAAATCAGAGAGAATATAGGTACATAAGAGCCCGCTGCCTAGCAACCACATCCCGAGCCCGAGTTGACAGAATGATACGCAATGCTGTCATGAAGACAGTCAATTTGTGGGCTTCAAAAAAGGTCCTGCGCCTTCATCTCACAATTAAAACCTCTCCTCCCGCAATTAGGCGTCTCTCCTCTTGCCTACTCTGGAATTTTATTTTTTTTTTTTAAGGCTTCAGAAGCAGGAAGAGAGCTTTTTCTGCCCCTGGGGTATTTCAGATGCTTCAAAAAATCACAGCTAGCCAAGAAGCTGTCTAGACTCTCAATATGCTCCATTTCAAAATATGAGTCCTTCCCTCCCAAATACTTTTTTTTTTTCATTTCTCCTTTTATGTTTTCTCTATCAAGACGTTGTTGATTACAAGTCAGATAGAATTTAAAAACAATAAAAGAAGCCCAGAAAGGAAGTTGCCTTTCTTCCAGCCAAACTGCAAAAAGTCACAGATTGAATAATTGCTCAGAAAACAACAACAACAAAAAACCAACATGGAAATTCTCAGTTTGTGGGCAGTGTTGAGTATTAGAGGCTCACGTTGTTTTAAAAGTAAAAAATTAAAACCCCCACGGAATCGATTATTTTCAGTTTCCAAAAGGTCAGATGTAAAATACATCACACCAACAAAAATTTTCTAAGTCAGTGATACCTGCCAACGATTACCTGTTCATATTAAGATATTCTGACAGAGCGTAAACGGCCTGAGCATTAGTCAGTTTTATTTATTCCTCAGGAGTCAATAATCTAAACTTGAAGATGTCGATGTGTTTGTGTTCAGAGAGGAAATAACGGGACTGAATTCTCTGTCAAATCAAAGTCCTTAAAATTTAGTTTTGTGAGAAAACACCAAGAGAGAGAACTGTGAACGCTCAATATTTTTTTTTTACCCTTGTTTTTCTCCCTATTCCCTCTGTTTTCTTGAAACTCCTCTAAACACAACAATTTCCATTCCAATAAAGGTGGGTTTAGTGAAAGAGCCACATATGGTGATTAATAAAAACCTACAAAGCATTTGGGAAAAACCCAGTTTTTCTTTCCATCCTCAAACGAGCCATGCCATTTAATTTCTGCTGTTGATCTTACAGGGCTGCTTTTGTCCAAGCCCAACGGCTCCCGAAAAGGCTGAGGAGCCTGAAAAAAGCGATCTTCCGCCATAGAGCGCTCTCCCTTGCTGCCAGAGCCTGGCACAATGCCTTTGCATTGACCTCTACAGCTTCCTCTTCCAATGTACACCGCAGTCACATGGTCCCAGCACAGCTCCATGCCACAGCTAATCTTACACACCGCTCAGCTCCAACCTCAGCAAGCAGCTTCTCATCACTAACAGCTGCTAATTTGGGGAACGACTCAACTTTTCAGGTTTTTCCATCATGAAAAAAAAAGGGGGGGGGGGGGGGGGGAGGAAAAAAAGCCATAACACAGCATCCATGTTGAAAGAAATCTAGAAACTACATCCCACTGCGTGCTCTGGTCGCAGCTCTCTGGGCCAGAACAGGTAAAGCGGGTTACAGGAACACAATCCCAGGCAGGGGACAGAGAGACAACCTGACCAGACTCACAACCTGAAAATAACAGGCGACGCAAAAGATGCCCCAACTTCGATTTTTTTTCCCAGCTGCAACCACATCCAATCCCTGCATACTCCACTTTACCTCCCTGCACAGCCTCAGTCAGGGCTTTAAAACATGCAGCTGCTTGCAATCCTGTTGTGGGGAAGCTTCCCTTCCCCACTGAAGAGTTTGTTTTATGCTCTCCACAAGCCTGAAATTGTTCAAGTTAATGTACTGTTATTTTGGAGGAAGGATTTGTGGTGTGGGGGAAAAGGGAACTTTCCCCCCAAAAATCCTGGGGAAATTTGTTAGAGAAACGATGCGAAGAAATATGGAGTAACCTGCAAACTCATGGGGAAGAGCAAACACAGAGATACCCCCAAAACAGCCAGGGAGATGACACAAACGAAGCCAAACCACTAAGCGAACACGGAGAGCTGGGAACACAGCAACACCGCGGAGCCGGCGCGGATACCACACTCCCACCAGGCAAACCCACAATGCACTCGCCACGCAGCGCCACGGACCCGCGAGCAAACGGCGAAACAAAGACAGCGACA